ATGTTAAGTTTAAATACAACATTTTAATGTAGAAATATTAAATGATTGCAAAAATTAAATGAGCTACTTTTTAAAATATGAAACTTTCTTAATGAGCGAGTTGAATCCTTAAATCAACCGATTCATTTAAAATGCTAATTCATTTAACTTAGCAAACGACTGTACTAATAGCCTTTCTGGAGGTGTTTGCGCGGCTTCGTGTGCGGGCGCTTTGGATGTGACCGTGAGCGCCCAGAAAACTAGTTTGGAGCGAGCAAGTACTGAATGATTTAAAAAGACTTAAAAAGACATGCAAATTAAAAACTTTTGTGATGATGCAACACTGACCCGATTAGGCAAGTGACAGTCCTGTCAGCTGAGCGAAAGTCTTGTATTGCAGCGTGCAGCAGCTCTCTTAGTGCAGACGAGATGTGCTGATGTGAGGCAATTTTGAGAGAGTGAGAGCCAGAAGACGCGGTACAGCTGAACCACACACGCTGTTTTCAAATGACTGACTTAATCTGATATTCTGTGTGAATTTTTTTTAACTCATCTAATCTACATTGTATATTAAATACATGTTTCCAAACGTGCGGAACCTGCGGGAATGAGTAAAACCAAAATGCGCAATCCCGCACCGAGATTCAGGACATGATTAAACATATATTCTGTTATATAGAGATTTGTAAAATAAATTTCCACGACTTTTCCTAAGCTTTCTGAGGTTTTCATGACCGTACGAACCCTATAAATGGCTATTTTTATTTTTTTAAATCGTTTTGATAAATTTCTGCTCCACTTTGTGTGGAGGTAGTGAGACGGGACAAAGTCCCTGTAAGATATTAGGGTATTCTATAGTCTTTGGACGGGAGAAAGCGCTCAAAACTCTTCAGATTAATTTAGTGGAACATTAATATAATATAGAATCAAACTCTGTCAAGAATTGAGGCGTGAACGTGAGAATTTATCATTATCTTTGTAAATGTGCGCTCTTTTGGGCGAAAGGCTTAATGGAACCATTTAAAGTAGCCATGTGATCACAAATTAATCGGCGATTTGGCGCAGCGCAGACGTGATTTAATACGTGTGTCCTTTTTTCTATGTGAAAAAAATCATAAATTCCAGTTTATGCTGTTTGATTATGGCTTCGAAGGTCGTAGCTGGAAGCTGTTAGCCCCGGCTGGCCCGTGTGCGCTGTTGAAATGCGGCTAATAATTTCTGACTGGCACATAACTGAACAAATGTAAACGGGTTAAGGCGGGGCCCCCTACAAGGCGGGGCCCCTGGGCTGCAGCCCATTCAAGCCCAATGGTAAGTCCGGCCATG